AAGATCATCTCTGACTGGGGTGAGCAGGGAAGGCAAGGGTGGCATTTGAACTGGACTTTGAAGGACGGTTAGGCAGAGATAGGTGATGCAGGGAAGCATGCTTGGAAAAAAAGATAAAATGGTGTGAACAGTGGTGTGGAAGCACATACAGGAAATGATGACTGCAGACTAGGACATACATGAGGGAGCTGTCAAAAATAAGGCTGGGAAGGTGGATTGAGGAGAGATCTAAGATGCTTTAAATGGCATGATGAAGAATTTTTACTTTTTTTGTAGGTAACAGAGAGCTATTGAAGATTTTTTTTTAGCAGGGGACTGATATTACTACAGCCATATTTTAGTAAGATCAATCTGACGGCATTTTATATGATGGCTTGCATGAGAGGAGAGACAGTCTGGAGAAGGGCAAAGGTAGGTATTGGGAAAGCTTTTGTTCAGTCTTGTCTGACTTTTCATGATGCCATTTGGGGTTTTCTTGGCAAAGATACCAGAGTGGTCTACCATTTCCTTCTCCAGCTCATTTTACAGATGAAGAAATGAAGACAAACAGGGTTAAGTGACTTGCCCAGGGTCACACAGCTAGTAAGTGTTTGAGGTCAGATTTGAACTCAGGTTCTCCTGACTCCAGGCCTGGCACTCTATACACTGAGCCACCTAGCTGCACCATTGTGAAAGTAGCAGATGATAAATAATGCAAGTCTGAACTGGGATGATAAAAATGGGAATGGAAAGAAAGTGAGTAATGTGTTTGAGAACTAGGTTGGCAATAGCATCGATTGAATTTGGCAACTTATTGGATGTCTTTTTCATCCTTCCACGTTTTCCTCACTTACACCATAAAATTGCATATGCTTTCATACGTAATCTCTCTACTTCTAAGAAAATTTCTGATTTCTAAAGTGTAAATACATACACTGAAAATTTAACAATTTTTTCTTATAAGCTGATTCCAGAACATTCCTACAATTAACCTACCTTTTCATCCTATCTGATTTTTGCCCACATTCTCCCAATGTGCTAGAGGCCTTTTTCTACTAAGTCTTTCTTTTTTAACGTTTGGGGCAGGGAGCCCCTAGTGCAGTGCTTGGGCTATCCATCCAGCATCCTCATATCCTCTGGCTGGGTGACAGGCCGGCCTCTCTTTTCTATTCCACATTTTATTGGTAATAGATACCCCTTCTGCTACTTATTGTATAGAGGTCATGGTCTGGACCATTCAGCAGCTTATTTGCACCCACTAGGAGTCACTCCACTGAACTTTGGATTACCCCCAATTTTAATTATCTGGAAATTGTGGTGTTACAAGATCCAACACTGCAGAATATTATGGGGAAAACTATTGGTGGCAAAAAGATTTAGGTGGGTTTTGTTTGTTTGCTAGGAGACAGCTTGGGAGCACTGAAAGCACTGTACAGTTTTCTCAATGAAATCTAGTCTGTTCTTATCTTCCTATCAAATTTAGCACCCACCTCATTGTCTCTCTGCAGTATTTCTCTCCAATATTTGTACCAATATATTAATTCAACAGATTGGTCTTCTAATTACATTATAATATGAACACTAAGAATTTTTTGTCCATTTAGATTTTAGCACAGTGAGTGGCACATACTAGGTACTTAATAAATGTTCCCTCTCTTCTTTACTTCCTTCTTTCCTTCCTTTCCTTCTTTCCTTTCTCTTTCCCTCTCTCTCCCTCCTTCCTTTCTTTTTCTTTCCTTTATTTTTCCTTCCTTCCTTCCTAACCAGCATTTATACAGTGTTTTAAGGTTTGCAAAGCACTTTATAAATACATTTGATCCTCACAACAAACTGGAAGATAGGGTGCTATTATTATTTGCATTTATAGATGAGAAAACCGAGGCAGAGGTTAAGTGACTTGCCCAGGATCATATTACTAGTTAGTATCTGAGGCAGGATTTGAACTCAGATCTTTCAGATTCTAAGTCCATCCAGCTCTCTAGTTCTCTATCCACTGTGCCATATAATTGCATTATTACATACAACTCACAAAATACTATGAGGATTATTAAGCGCTCTCGCTCTCTCGCTCTCTCTCTCTCTCCCTCCTCCTCCTCCATCCATCCCTATTTCTGTCTTTATCTCTCTGTCTCTCTCTGTCTCATCTCTCCCTCTGTCTCTCTCCCTTTGTCTCTGTCTCCCTCCATCTTCATCTCTCTCTGTCTCTCCCTCTCTCCCCTTGTCTCTGTCTCTGTCTCTCTCTGTATCTCTTTTTCTCTCTTAATGAGGGACCTATGTAATATTCTACTACCTCCTTCCATCGATACACTATCATTCCCACATAGAAGCATTTGGATATGTATATGTGTGTGTATATATATATATATATATATATATATACATATATATATATATATGTATATATATGTATATGTATATATATGTGTGTGTATATATATGTATATATGTGTGTATATATATGCATATATGTGTGTGTGTGTGTCTATATATATAGACACACACATATAATGTATACACACACACACACACACACATATATATATATAAAACACCTCTTAAATTTGTACTTTTTAAAAGATGTCTTCCACAACAGCAGCAAAAACCTTTGTCAAGGATATATCTTCCTATTTTATGCCTTTCTTCACACTTATTATCACAGGGTTATTGAACAGCAAACTTTGTGGTTACGTTTATCAAGAAATCCTGTACAATCTTAACATGCATTTCAAGGAGTTTGTTGCTAGAACGTTTTGTTATACTAGGTCAAGTCCTTTTTTTGGGGGGGGTAATCAATACACTGCTAATTTTGGTAATGAACACAGTGATATCTTGTATTTCCATCTCTTTACATTAATTTTGTGATTGTAAAGATGGAGTCTAATATAGAAAATCATCTGAGAAACCTTACCATTTCTCTTCTCATATTTTTATCAAAAAAAAAATCCTTAATATACACATAGATTATTCTCATGGAAGATTTTTTAAGGATGAAAAAGTAGAAAAATGGGTCAGAAGTTTTTTGGTGGGAGGGAGAGGGAATATTAATGCCATTCATGGCATTACTTTCCCATTCTTTTTGGTATCATTCCCCCCTCTGAGATATATTATAAAATGATTCTTTAATGTTTTCAAAATTGTGTCACCTCCAACTTGACTATCTTTGCCTTTTTCCATTTCTCCTTTTTAAACATTAATAGGTCATTTGACTTGGTCAGATTGAAGCTATTATAGTTATTTGCACTGAATTCTCAAATTCAGCTTTCTTTCTAATTTGATCTTTGTCTTTGTTCTAACAAGTCAGTGGTCTGACTGCACAGACAGCTGATTTTTTATGATTCCCACATCAGGAAACAGTCCTTTCCTGGTTGTTAAGATATAATCAATTTTAATTTGGGGATGATCATTGCTTGCCATGTTGAGCACCTTCCAACACTCTCCTGGAAGAATGAATTCATGATATATAGATATGAGGCTTCTGAATACTTATAAGCCACTGCTCTCTCTCTCTCACTCTCTTTCTCTCACTTTCTCTTTTAAACCTGCACCATATTTCCCAATGTTTATCTTCTTCCCACCCCCCTCACCTTGTGCCCACCTTTGATTGATGCATCAAAGTATATGATGATTTGGTTTCAAAATGACCACATGTTTTACAAAGTATTTCATAGCGCCCTTGGGTACACAAAATAACAAATTTCTCAGTTTCTCTATTTACTTCTCCAAGGAGAATCTATAAGACAACCTTTCATTTAGTTGCAACTTCCTTTTGTCTTCTGGGTTCACAGAACCAAACCATTCATATTTGCCTTCTTTTTAAATTTTTTTTTTTTGTATTTGCTGGACCTTAAGATCTGAGTTACACAAGAAAGAGGGTATTTACAACTGGTGTACATCTAAGTGACACAAATTAGGCAATGAAAAAGTGAGCAGCTAAACATAAGGAGAAATACTCTTAGTGTACATTGAGATCTTTGTAGGTTACAGAGGAACTGTGAAAGTTAACTGGTGTTTGTAAGGCCTGAGGTCCAAAAGGACTTAAATCAGGAGGGAGCTTTGTCCTTTTTGGGACTTCCTTCCTAGTATAACCAGAGGTGCCACAGATCATCCCAATTACTTTGTCTGCAGTGGAGAGGTACATGAGAAGTGAAAATGTGGTTAAGATGGTATGCTTTGTAGGGATAATCATAATAATTTACATTATGTAATAAATTACATTCTGATTATAATCTCAAACGCTTCATTCTTTGCCTCTACCTTATTCCCGTTAAAAGCCTTTTCCTTGACTCCACCATACCCTCTTCCCTTTTGCCACCAAACTCTGAGAAATAATTGCCAACATTTGCAGCTTCCACTGTCTCACCACCCATTCAGTCCCTTGAAATTTGCCCTACGGGCCCCACCACTTAACTTAAAGTACTCTCTCTGAACAATCTTTTGACTGCTTGATCTGATGGTATTTTTACAATCTTCATCCTCCTTGACCTCTCTGCAGTTTTTGATACTGTTGAACTTGCCCCTAGATACTCATATCCTTTCGTTGTTCAGTCATTTTAGTCACATCTGACTCTGCATGAGTTTGGGTTTTCTTGGCAAAGATACTGAAGCAGTTTGCCATTTCCTTCTCCAGCTCATTTTATAAATGAGGAAACTGAGGCAAACAGGGTTAAGTGACTTACCCAAGGTCACACAGCTAGTAAGCATCTGAGGCAAGATTTGAACTCATGTCTCCCCGACTCCAGGCCTGGCACTCTATCTACTGCAACACCTAGCTGCCCACTCTTTCCTTTGGGTTCTCTCAAACTGTTCTTTCATGGTTTTTCTCCAAAATCTCTACCACTCTTAGATTGCCCCTCATCCCCTGCCCCTTTAATACAGTTGTCCTCCAGGGCTTTGTCCTAGAATCCTTCTCTTCTCTCTAAATCTTCTCTTATCAGCTCCTGTAGGTTCAAGTATCATGTCTACAAACATGACTCTCAAATCTGCAATTTTACCCATGATCCCTTAATTGCCCACATACTTACATCAAGAGCAACAGATTGCTTGGCCCAGGACTTCTTTACTTGATCATACATTATTGTGTTGTTGATCCCAAGGCCACAAAAAATGACAAAAGCCTAAGAAAGAAAAAGGTCACAGTTTAAAACAAAGATAGGCAGCCTTCAGGGACAAGTATGAATTTGTTTTTTATTGGTTTAGAACTATGAGCTCACTAGGGCAAGGAACTCCCAATGAAGAAATCCCTTTTGCCAATAGAAATATCAAACTGTTCTTCAATTTTAAGTCTTAAACAGTTTCCTGGGGGCACTGAGAGGTTAATTAGCTTGCCGAAGTTGGCACAGGGAGGGAGTAAGGAAGAGAATAAGCATTTATATTGCACGTGCTATGTGCCGGGTGCTTTATACATTTCTCATCTGATCCTCGCAACAACCCTTTAAGGTAGATACTGTTATGATTCTCATTTTATAATTGAGTAAACTAAGGCAAACAGAGGTTAAGTGACTTGTTCAGGGTCACACAGATAGTAAGTGTCTGAGATCTGCCATTATGGGGTTTGTGTGGTCATGGGTAAATCAAGACCCTACCAATGTGATGTGTCTTGGACTACTTTCTACAGTCTATGGAAAGAATAACCTTCAGATAACTGTAGAATATTTTGCAAACAAAAGGCTTTGAAGATATAAATGTATAAATCTCATTTTCAATTCTAGGATGTAAGAAGTCAGAAACTGCTGATCATAGCAGAGAGCCAAGACTGGGAGGGTTCAGCAAGTGCCAGTGGCCCACAGTGGAGAGGAGAAATAGCCAGCAGGGCAAACACAGCTTTAGACAAGTGCTTTCTCACTTAATCCCCATAACAATCCTATTAGATAGGTGTGGGTATTATCCCCTTTATATAGATGAGGAAACAGAGGTAGACAAAGGTTAAATGATTTACCCAGGGTCATATGGCTAGCATCTAAGGATGGATTCAAATTCAGGTCTTCATGCCCCCAAGTCCATCACTCAAACCACTGTGTATACACAGACAGACAGACAGACACACACACACACATACACACACACACTCCCTTCAGTAAGAGGGCATTCTGAAATATAGAGTTAAGAGGAGAGATGCTGGAGTGGCGGAATGTAAGCTTCTTAAAGGAATGGATGGTTTGTCCATTTGTTTCTGTCTCTCTGATGGCAGCACAATGCTGTTTACATAGTAAAAACTTGTTATATGCTTTTTGGAGTATATTGGATTGAATTAAATAGGAAGTAGGTGTGCACACTACTGTCAAATAAACTTGACCACAGAATCATGATCACACCATACACCACTGCTCCTGGTACTTTTCTACAGTTGTTCTGAGACAGGAGATAATCCCAATAGAGCCAGATAGATAGAGCCACTATGAGAAACTGGCCATACCTGGCAGATGGAATGTACAGGGATTATACTAAATCCAAATAAGCAAATCCCAGTATCAATAAAGCTCTGACCCTACTAACTTCAGTTTCTGAAAGAACTTCGGCACAAGTACAATTATGTTTGGATCATTCACCCCCACCCCACCAGTTTACAAAGCTTTTTTTTTCGTACCTCGAAAAGTCGTTGATCAGCATCATCAAAAGGTTTCCCATCGAGTCTATTTAAGACTTGAGCAACCCCTGTTGAAAGAGTTCACACCATGTTGTTAATATCAAGCACAGAAAGGCAAGCATTGCCAAAATACGTAGCAGGGATCTATCCCGTGTCTATCCTGAGACACTGGAACATACTTGAATGCCTCATTTAAATGCTGCCCACGTGAGCACCTTATCAAAAAGAAGGGACTTAGAGAAGCAAATGGTCCCACCGAGGCTTCTGTAGCAATGGTTTTCAGACTGAGCTCCACTGAAGACTAAGGAGACACAGCATACCCTCAGGGTTCCCTGAACACATGCCATCAGGATCTATGACCACTAGAACTCTGTTACAGAATGGTTGGTTTTTGTGCAGATATACTCAAGGTCAAAGCATGTCTCTGAAACATGCAGACATATGACAAAAATCTGTTATACCTGTTAACCTAGAAGGCAGGAGTTAGCCCAGCGATGTGGGCTCTAACATGCTTGCATTTTCGGTATGAGTATCTAAACCTAAGTTATGGCAATCGCTGTAAATCAGGGCGTGATTTATTTTTTGATTGATTGTCTAGACTTAAGAAAGTATTAATAATGCAGAATTAAACATAAAAATTTATGTGTATCTATTTCTTTTCCCAAGTGACCCCAAGTGAGTTAAACATTTACCAGAATACCTCCATATTGCTTTATAAACACTATTTGAGCTCAGGAGTGTAGTACAAGGCCCAGAGAATGAAGTCATTACAAGATTGTAGGCCTGGTGACTGGAGGCAAATGAATATAATGATGATGATGATGATGATGACTGGTATTTACATATCACTTTAAGGTTTGCAAAGTGCTTTATACCCAATATCTCATTTGTGCCTCACACTACCCTGAGTTAATCCCGATCTCCGATGCCATTATTGGTAAAGCAATGCTGCAGTCCCCTCCCCCATTTGATTTAGATGTATGTTTGTTCCCTCACCCGAAAAGTTCACCCCCAATACTATACCAAGTGCTCTATGACATGAGGAACAAAACAAAAGTGTACCATAAGCTACAAGCAAGCAAACCACAGATCCCTGGCCCCGTACAAAACTAAGGCAGAGGTCAGTAGATAAATGAGCCTCCACTCCTAGTGATCCACAAGAATGAATATATCTCCCACAGCACTGAACTTACCATCAGAAAGTCCTTGTTAGATTTTTTGTGACTTATGTAGGGTTTTCTCGGCAAAGATACTGGAGTGGTTTGCCACTTCCTTCTTCAGCTCACTTTACAGATGAGGAAACTGAGGCAAACCAGGTTAAGTGACTTGCCCAGGTCACACAGCTAGTAAGTATCTGAGGCCAGATTTGAACTCAGGAAGATAAATCTTCCTGACTCCTGGCACTTAGCTGCCCTGCAGAAAAGTGACTTACACCTTTAGAAACATTAAGTCCATGAAATATTGCTAGGAACTTGGGGGTTAAATGAAAAACTTCAGGCATTTCACATTTAGGTAAACTACAGCTCCCATTTAGAAATAATTACAGGTGCATTATTGATTTAAAATATTATTTCATAACATGGGGAAAAATACTCGGTTATTTGTCTTGGTTCAGTTTGCTACAGTTTTAGCTCTCATTCTGTAACCTGTCAACATAATTAGCTGTCTGCAATGGTCTTGCTCAGTGTTTTGTATTAGGAACTGTGATTCCTAACTCTTACACATTTCTCTTGCTTTAGTATTCATCTTTTCCCGTGTGATGGATGTACTCATGAAATACTGATAGATACTTGATTCGGTTGAGTAAATGAATGAGAAAAACTATTTTCAAATTTAGGTCTAAGCACTAATTGGCAGAATATGGAATTCCATTGTCAGCACCAGTCAGTCCCCTGGAGCTTAATGAGGAAATCTTATGGAAATCTCCAAGAGGAAAACAGGTGCCCAGGGTAAGAGAGCTATACAGTTAGAAATTAGGGATTTAAAAAAAAAGAGAAATCCTATTACTCCCAGAGAACAATATCTCCCTTTTAGCCCTAGTTTGAAGAATCTTATAAGTGCATTTGTTCAGTTTTGGCCCCTGTACCATCACTAGGCTTCCCAGGCTTGGTGATTTCTCAGATGAGATTTCCAGAGGCAGGACTGTCTAGCCAGGTAGATTAGAAGTACATCTTGAATGTAGAGATTAGTAGTTGACTGCTACTGTGTCCTCTTTCTGTAGGAAAATGTGGGCTATCCAACGTCTTTTGGCAAAAGCCTAACTGCCTACTGGTATAACACTAATTCAGCATGTCTCTTATTTCCCTACATTTTAAGTATATGACGAATTTCTGCCTTGCCCTCAATAAATATTTGCTGATGAATGAATGGACAAACACTTGATTTCCTCAGAAAGAAGCATGAACTCCTTACATGGAGTCTGAATGAAAATGTGAGATCAGATAAGACTCAGATTGGTGAATTCTGGAGCTCAAAAAGGGAAGAACCAATAATACCAAACAACTTTAAAGGAAGAATACTTGATTCCAGAACAATATCATCCTACTTCTGTCAGTATCTTACCAATTATTTGGTGATTGCTGTTCCAAATAGGGACACAGAGCACAGATCTTATATGAAAGCCAGATATCTGGTCAGCCTAGGATAAAAAAAGGAATTTAAAAGGTGTTAAAATATATATGCACCATTCATTACTGATTTATAATCCCATCAATTTCTAGTAACAAATCTTCTGAACAGGCTTAAAATAAATACTGTATTTAAATCAATTTTTAAATACATTTACACCCAACCATCCATTTTCAACTCTGCCTTTCATAAGATTTCAAGGCTAAATTGTATGTGCCACCTCCTCCTGGAGTTGTTTTAGTGTTTTTCCTCTCCTCAAACTACATTATATTTGCATAACACATATGTCTATACATGCATGTGTGCATGTGTATTTATACATGTATATATAAATATGTAAATAATAAATAAATGTATAAAATATACATAGATTTACATATACATATCTAAACACAAACACACACACATACATGACTTACTTGCCAAGCAGAAAGATATGGCCTGCAAAGGACAATGACAGTTTTGAATATAAATTCATTATAAATAATTAACACTACAAAAATGAAATTGATTATACTTTAATGACCAGGAAATTGTTACTGATTTAGGACTCATCCCTGAATCATCTGTCTCTGTATAAACGTTTGTAAGGTCATTATAGTTCATGTCCTTGTTACAAATGAGTAAACCAAACTTTAAAGTCCTATAAAAGTACTGGTTATTATTACTAACAGATTAGACAATAAAACTAGAGGTGCTACAGATAGTACCCTTCTCCTGAAGGTCATTAACATGACCAAGAACCTTCTGGCATCTTTGCCCCAGTAAGACTTTACCTATTCTACAATTTTGCCTCAGGCTAGCTGCACAGGCAGCTGGGTGTCTCAGGGGATAGAGGGCTGGGTCTGGAGAAGACTCCTAACTTCAAATTTGGCCTTAGCTATTTACTAGCTGTATGACCCTGGACAAGTCACTTAATCCTGTTTGCCTCAGTTTCCTTATCTGTAAAATGAACTGGAGAAGGAAATGATAAACCATTCCAGTATCTCTGTCAAGAAAACCTCAAATGAGGTCATGCAGATTCCAATGCAACTGAAAACTACTCAACCATATTAAAGCCTAGGCTAGTAGCATTTATAAAACACGATTCTCAAACCACTTTTGTCATTACTGATACATGAAGGTGCCTGAAGAGTCTGGCATAGGAATGAGGGGGATAGGGATTGGACCCGTGATTTCACTAATATAGGGAACTCCCAGATAAGTAACTTATCTCAGGCTAGCACTTTCTCTATAACTTAGTCTTCCAGAAATGCCTGGAGCACAAAGAGGTTAAGTGCCTTTCCCAGGGTCACATAGACAATATGTGTCAGAAGCAGGACTTGAACCCAGGTCTTCCTGCGTTAGAGGCTAGCTGTCTATGTATGCCGTACAATAGTATCATAAAAGTTCAGCTATCTAAAACTCTTCTATTTGTCAACCTCACCAAAATGCAAGACAGACTAGAACCAGGAATGAAAAAAAGAATGAGGAACCAAATACTTGGGCACTAATTAAAGTTCAAAGGAGAGTATTCTAGGCAATTCAGAGCTTATTTATACATATTTTATAGATAATTCTAATAAGATGCTTTGGCAGCTAGATGGCTCAGTGGATAGAGTTCTGGGCCTGGAGTCAGGAAGATCTGGGTTCAAATCTGGCCTCAGATGTGACACCGGGCAAGTCTCTTAACCTTTGTTTGCCTCTGTTTCCTCATTTGTAAAATGGAGATAATAATAGCAATATTTTTAAACATAGAATCCTAGAGGGCAACTCATTTTCAGGAGTTCCATCAATGAGCTTCATGACAGTTACAAGAAGGAGGACTAAACGATTATCATATCTTGAAGGTTCTCACGCATACAGCTTAGCCTTCAAGAATCCACCAAACTTGCCCAAAGCAAATGGCATAACTGTAGCACACACATATGTTTCTGTGTCAGCATAAAGGGGGAGAGCCACACCTGGCAATTTCAGTCTCCAAAGTAAGCAGTATGAAATATGTCCTTAAATTAACTTTGTAATTCATGATGTCGAAGCAATACCACCAGTAATCAAGACAAAATTCGGCTGATTGGAAATTTAGCTACAGTAGTAGCTCCATGAAAGGAGTCAGTGATACTATGGAGGCTCTAAAGTCACTTTTTTCCTTGCTGCTGAAATAGTGCTAAATGTTTACACTTTTATAACTTCAGTCCCTTGGGACAAACCCTTGATTTCTCTTCTTTGGTTAAGGCCTAGGCATCTAGTTTGCACAGTGGATAGCATGCCAGGCCTGGAGTCAGGAAGACTCATCTTCTGGAGTTCAAATATGGCTTCAGACACTTAATAGCTATGTGACCCCGGGCAAGTCACTTAATTCCATTTGCCTCAGTTTCTTCATCTGTAAAATGACCAGGAGACGGAAATAGTAAGCCACTCCAATATCTTTGCCAAGAAAACCACAAATGGGGTCACACAGACACAGACAGGACTGAAACAAGCGAACAACAAAGTTAAAGCCTAGTCTACAGCAAACAATTAGTTGGAATAAAATCGAAGATGGCTAGCAAGATAAACCTTCTAGATTCAGGGCTCTTGTGTGACCTCTTTGACAGCCTGGTGAAGTTTATATAACTTTTCTCAGAATAAAGAGAGGAAATGCTATTGTTATTGTTATTTTTTATTGTTGGCATCAATAGTAAATTTTGGCTAGAGGTTAATAAAAACAAAGATGTAATTATTTTTCCTATCCTAGTCCATGGATAGCTTGAAATCTATCCACTGACTCCATGGGAGTCTGTGAAACCCCAGGTTAAGAACCCCTGTTCTAGACAAAGGCAATAGGCAATCCTGACACAGAGATAAGAGGATGAAATAATTCACATTATAATGTAGTGGAAGGAGCTCAGTGTTTGGAGGCAGAAGACCTGCACTGAATCAGGGATCTTCCACTTAGCAGTACGGTCATTTTACATAAAATCATTTAACCTCTCAATTTCTTTATTTGTAAAATGTGGATAATAATTATCACATCTCCTCAATGGGTTTTAAGAGGATCAAAGATGATAATACATGTAAAGCTCTTTTAAAGGACTACATAAATGTGAGATATTATTACCACTGGCATACATATAAATTCATAGCATATATTTAAAAGGCCTTAAATTTTTATGTGATCAAATGAAATAACACATATAAAATGCTTTTCAAATTTTACAGTACTACATAAATGCTAGCTATCAATTTCATTGTTATTATCTCGAATTTTTAGCCTCTATTCCTTTCCCATTCATGATAGCATATCAATTCCGGAGTTCCTATATGAATAAAGGAGTCACAGTCCTTGTCCTCAGGAGACACACCTTCTCAAGGGGAAACACTGAAATGATATATGAATTTAATCAAGTACCAATTTTCAGCATCTATACTTTAATCAATCGGAAATGCATGGCTTCATCTGGACAGATACTCTCTCTGCTGACTCAAATGGCAAGCTTTTACCTCTGCTCCTTAGTAGATGGGCTCATTAGTTATCATGCCTAAAAACATTTCTACCCTTGGTAGCCAAGTTTCTGGTAAAAAGCCTCCACACACTCAGTCAAGTCAGTCTTCAATGGACACACACTATTGACAGGGCAGAACCTGCCAGAGCTGAGGCTCTGTGGGTATGATCTGCCAGGACTTGGAGTCACCCTCACACTATGATGAGGCATATCAGAGCAGGACTTTGATGGAGGCTGGGCCACCACGAATGTTTTCTAATGAACTGTGTTTTAATAGATACTTCTTTCATCCAAATCTGGTAGTTTTTCTGTCCAAAATATGAAGTAAAAAGTGTAAGACCTTTTCAAAAGAAACTAACATTCTGCATAGTTTTTCAGGTACTTTGACAAAAGCTCAGATTTCATACCAAGGCAAAGGCATGGGGGTGCTTTTGGATTTCCAGCATCAAGGACAGTGCCTTAAACATACTAGTATGTGTTTATAGAATTGAATTGAAGCAAAAACAAAGACTGTAATCAGAAAGTCCACTTGACTGCAGGGTAGATCCAAACCATCCTGTAGCTGAGAGGAAGAAAAGGGATTGTGTTCTGTATGAACCTTGTTGATGTCTGAGAGTCTCCATTGGATGGTACTTCCTATGAGGACCAGAACTTTCTTAGGTTGGCTGCTCTATTCCCTTAAATTTTCTGATACATTGGGGACTCAATCGAATATAAGCTCCCCAAGGTTGGGGACAGTAACCTCCCTACCTTGCTAAATGAAGGCCTGAGGAAAGCTCAAAACCCTTGCTTGAGTCACTCTATCATAGTAAGACAAGCAGTAATAATAATAATAATAACAATAGCTAGCATTTATACAGAGATTTAAGTTTTGCAAAGTGCTTTACATTTGTTATTTCACTTGATTCACACAACAACCTGTGAAGTAGGTACTATTATTACCCCCATTTGTTAGATGAGCAAAATGAGGCAGATAGAGGCTAAGTGACTTGCCCAGGGTCACACAGTAAGTGTCTGAGGCTAGATTTGAACTCAGGTCTACCTGACACCAGGTCCATCACTTTGTCCACTGCAACACCAAGCTGCCTCCAGTAACAACCAAAACCCCTTTTCCTGACAGCAGGAAGTTTGAATATTAACTAGCCACCAGTTCTACAGGAATCTTACTTCACTTGCTGCTCCCCACCTATTAGCACGAATCAACATCGGTCCCAGGTCCAGCCTCCTTGCTCCCTTTCCCCACTGCTTGGTCCTGCTGAACCCAGATATTAACCTTATAAAAATCCACCAGGTATCTCTGGGGTTGGGTACTTCCCGGATGTTTGATCAGTTTCCACCATAACTGTTCTTCATTTTGTAATAAGTATGCCCCCTCAATAAAGTTGACTTGCTTTCCCGTCCTTGTGTGTGCTTTGTGTTTCCTTGAACTGGATTTTGGCATTATGAACCTTCCTAAACCCATATCATGACGTTATCTCACTTCTATATTTGTATCCACAGTCGTAAGGCTAGTGCCTCGCACCGAGCAGGCATTAATGAGAGTCAAAAGGGGATGGACGAAAACAATTGTCCTGCTACAGGACCAGTTTGGTAGTAGATGCCATAAGCATGGCTCCAGGATTTTCTCCATCAGCATTCTGCCAGCTCTGACAGCTGGAGTGGAAGAGAAGGATGCTGGAAATTATCCATCATTAGAGGTTGGTAGGATAGGAGAGAAAGATTAACTGCCTATTGTTCTTGCTAACTAATGAATCCTTGTACAGGTCAGGGAGGTCAGTTTTATATTATTCCCAATTTACAAGTAGGGAACACAGGAAGGCAAGAAGTTTTCCCAGCAGTGCTGAGATCTAGAATTTTGAAACGTCTGAGCAGCATGCCTGAGTATTTAGTCAGAGTGCCTTACATTTTGCCACTGATAAGCAACAACAGGGTTATGATAGCCAGGAAAAATTATGGGCACATATCCCAGACACAGATGAGGAGAGAAATCAAACATCCCCAGATAAACTTAACACAGTTCCAAAAGGTGCCATATATCTCCAGGCAAGCTCTTCCCCTGGAGATTATTTTCAGCCAGGCATCTGAAAGACTAGCCTTCTCCATGAGGATAAAGCAATTTAGTTCTCAGTTGCATTAGCCTTCTGTCTTGAAGGAAAATGGTTATACAGTATTTTAACTTGTGAAGTCATTTGAAGAACTTAACACTATGTCTACCGTTTCACAGCATCTTCAAAGGAAGCCTTTTGGTTGAAGGCTTTGCTTCTGTAGGTCACTTTAGGCCCTGAGTACACTGAGGGTTGACAGCTGTCACTCTGGCAAAATGTGTTGGAAGGATTTCCCAGACATGAGGGAGAAATCTTATGCTGACAAATTGTTTCCCTTGTTCAGTAATGAGCCATTTCGGCAAGAACCCTTTCTCTTCACTATCCTAGAAAGCATCGTTTAAACACAAATCTTTGACTAAGAAAAACTCTCTCACAACCAAGTATACTTCCTCAAATGCTTTTTGCCTTAAATCAAAGAGCAGCACACGTGAATAAGGGTAAAAATCATCTTACAGTAGAGCTATGGTCCAATGTTAACTGTATGGCAGCCTGAAGGCATATGTTCACAGCAAAGCATCCCATCACAACATCCCATTCCACTAAGCTCCTCTCATATGCAAAAAGTAGGCTAGGTCCTGAGGGTACAAAGACAAAGTCCTCTCTACCCTTGAGGAGCATACATTCTACTGGAAGGACACCATGTATATCTTGATAAGTAAATACCGTGTATTTGTAGGGCTGGAAAGAGAGAAAGAGTGCTAACAACTTAGGGGCTCCCAAGACATCTCCAATAGAAAGTAACATTTTGGAGGAACAGCTGAAAATGGATGGAGGTGATGAGGGAGGATGCTCCTGGTGTAGGGGGACAGCCTTTGCAAAGGTGTAATTGTTATATCTCTGGAAAAGATGCAGTTTTCCTAATTCTTAGCCCACTTTTTGCTGTCTGCAGGCACCATTTCTTCTAATGGACCCCAAAAATGAAATCTTTCTGACAAATCTACAGAAAATAATTGTCACCCTTTGTGCTTGAGGGTTCTTACCTTTCTTTTTATAGCTAATGTAGGTAGCATCCCTTTTTGTCATGGACTGTAAGTTGGAAGCAAATGTAAAATGGCTGTCATTAATCAGTCCACGACATATCAAAAGCTATGCCTACCAGATAGCTGCACTAAGTTGGGCATTTATATGGTGAATCTCTAGACGCAAGGGCCACCAGTTTGCCTAAGGAGAGGGGAACAGGACCATGTCAGAAATGGAAGAGGTCAAATCATTCATAATCATCAACAGTGGGTTTGGGATGTTAGTACCCTCTATGCTTCCAGCCTGGGAGAGATAAGGAGACCCATTCTTAAGAAAATATAAATCAAACTTGAAGCTAATTGTATCAGAGTTAATCAAATGTTGAGAAGACTCAAAGATTATGTCCAATTTATATAATTAATTCTATCATTTGTACCTAGATAATCCTCTTTGAAGATCTCATATCTCAATTTTTAAATATAGAGTAGTTTCCAGCACAGAGGAATCATTGAATAAATGCTGATTACTGAATTCAATTATATCTATAAACTTGTAAAGATCTTTAAATGTTCTTGTACAACACTTAGGGCACTGCCCCGCACATAGTAGGTGCTCAGTAAGTGCTTATTGATTGACTGTGGTATTAACGAATACCCTATCACACACATATGGATAGCATTGATATGTGCCTATCAGCACTAGAATGTAAGCTTCTAAAGGACAGGAATCACATGGTGAAGCAGGATTAGAGAAAATGCTACACTTCACGAGTCAGAAAAACCTGGCTTTGTATCCTGCCTTAGAATTGTGCGATCCTGGATAAGACATTTAACCTCCCTGAAATTCAATTTCATCATCCACAAAGTTGGGATAATAACAGCACCTAGATCCTAGGGTTATTGTGAGAACCAAATGATGAATGTGTGTACACTGCTTGTCAAACCTTAAAGGGCTATTTAGATGATGGCTATTATGATGTTTATTGTTGAGGGACAGTGTGGCCTAATGGTCAGAGGGCTGGCCTTGGACAAAGAAAGACCTAGGCTCAAGTTCTGCCTTTGAAACATACTAGCAGTGCGACCTTGGGCAAGTCACTTAACTCTTACATGACTTAGACCAGGTCTTCTTAAACTTTTTTCCACTTGCCATTCCTTTTTGCCTTTTGGCAGTATTTGCTGGTGTTGTATGGCATGCTAGCATGCACAGTGCAAAGTGCACATGCTTTGTGTTCAGAACCAAGGCTGTGGGGAAGTTGCACCATGCCACATGGGCAAGCGCTGCCAGAAACACCTCAGATTCATTACGCATTTGATTTTGAATTAAGTTTTGGTCATTGCACATTCAGAAATCTTTTAATGTTGCCAAAATTTTTTGTGACCCCATATGGGGTTGTGACCCACAGTTTAAGAAGCACTGCCCTAGACAACTGTCTAACATGGTAAGTTAGTGATCAGCAAAATCCGTGACTACATTAGAAGGAGTTTTCACACCAGGAGTTCCTAATATGGAAAAAAAAATCATACACACATATGTATGTGTATTGTGTATGCATTACACATATATGTTTTGTGTGTGCATGTGTATATACAAGTATGCATGCATACACATATATACTCTCTCCCTACACGGCTGGAGAACCTAGTTGGAGATGGAAGCCAGAGGCCAAGAGCACAGAATGAAGATCTCTAGGCAATAACAAAACTGTGAATCTGGGCCAGCTGCTTATGGTGAATGCTTACTAATCAGAAGCCCAGGGGCTCTGGGCAGAGCTGAAGGGCCAGGTTAGAGGTGAAGGCCAGAACACAGGAACATGACAGAAAGATGACTGGGGAATAAAGGTCAAGGTGAGGAGTTCACACATTTTAGGCACGGGAGATAGACATTGCAGAGGTCTGCATGAAGTAGCAAATGGTCCAGTATGACTGGATCATAGTGCATGGAAGGGAATAATATATTTTTTTAAAAATCAGTGACGGCTTGAACCAATGGCAGGGAGATTGAACACACCCCAAATTTCCATAAGGGTAACTGGAGAGCCCTGGGGAGAGGAGTGAAATGGGACATAACTGGCCTTCATGTGTGTGGCATGACACAACACGTGTGACATAATAACATGATATGATATGTGCACAACATAAAACATGCCACATAGGTACAACATGGCATATCATGTAACACAGCATGGCATTGCACAGCACACCATTTGACAGCATATCAGTGTGCATTGCATGATATACACGCCTTAGCATATGTGTGCCATGTAAATATAACATAGTATATCATGTAACACAGCACAACGTATAACAGCGTATTGTATTGTGTGAAATGACATGACATCTAACACAGAACAATGTATAGTAATGTATCATATATGTAGGACATGGCATATGCATGCCATGATGACATATACGTACAACACAGGGCACGACATGACAGCATAGTATTGTACATGCCATGATATAACATGTGCACATATGTATGGCATGTAGCAGCATATAATGTGGGAATACGACATGATGTGACATGTATGACATGACATATAAGTATATCGCAGCTTAAACTATAACACAGCATATTGTATAACAGCATATTGTATGTGCATGTCATGATGTGTGCATGACATATAGCAGCATATCATATTGCATGATATGACATTACATATGCACAACATGATATATAGGCATAACAGCATAATATAGAGTTACTGTTTATATGTATATATGTGTGCATATATTATATTTTTTTTTTCTGTTTCTTATTAGAAAACAATTTCCTCAAGGTCATGGATGAGTTCAGTTTTGTCTTGATATCCTTAGCACATAGCATAGTGTACAGCGCATAATAAACACTTAATAAATGCTTGCTTGTTCACTTGCTCATTCAGACTCAGCTGCCATGCTGTCTGCTTCAGATACCCACAACTGCCAGTGTCATCTCTCCCCAAACCACCTTGGATTCCTCTTGTATAGATCATGTGTATATTTATATATGTACATGTTGTCTTCCTCCACTGGAAGATATGCTCCATCAAGTCAGGGACTGGGTCACTTTTGTCCTTATATCTCCTGGTGCCTGCCACAGTTCTTGGCATACAGTAGGTGTTACATAAATATTTATTGATTGATTAATATTCAAATTACCTGCTTTTAAACTACAGTTTTCCCCAGTGAAGCACAAACAACATTAGACCAAAAAGATGGCGGCAACCCTACCAGGAAATAGGGCAGAATTTGGAAAATGTCTGTCTTTCAGGCACCAATGCAAATGTCAGAGCTCTGAACTTAAAAAGATGTCAAAGCAAAAGGATGAATTCCAGCAATGCCATTCTTCTGTTTGACATTAGCTTTTGTTCTTACACATGGCACATAACAATACGACAACGCAAATTGAGATTAAAATGAAAGACCATCTCTTACTTCGGCATCCAAGCGAGGATCCTGATAAGCATCAGTAATGTTCACTGGAAGGCCCGTGGAAGCTACCAGCTCAGCAATGCTATTATTGATGAGCCAGTCTGAATAAGAGGATTTCTCCATGCTGTCTTTGAAACTGTCAGAGGGGTTTGGCAAGGAGGAAAAAAAAGAATTCAATCAATTCTGCTTTAAAGTGGACTATATACTATGCAGACACATTTCATAACAGTCTTATCTGTAACAATTAAGAGTGGATGAGTGATGTTAGTAACAAAGCATTAGCTAATACTCCAGAAAGATCGCACCAGCCGCGAGGCTTTTTTTTTTTAAGACTGGGTGTACTTATTTTCTGCAGGCTAGAAGTAATAGAGACTCCTTCTGGGCCACTGTGATAGGTACAGAAGTTTTGATCTGCTCTATTTCCAGTTCTCTCCTCAGGCAACCTCCTGGAATCCTGCTCCCTGGAGATCACTATATTCATGCTAGACTTAATGCAGATACCTAAGTGGTTTAGCTCACTGCAGACTCCTAAACCCAAGAGATTTTATAGCCTCAGACTCCTCAGGAGAAGAGGTTGCAGGCATACGCTACCACACCCAGCACCTGGTCATAATTTGCACCTTCAGCACAAACCAGGTATCTATTGCCTGTGTTTACAGGAGCCCAGAACATTCAGATAAAAAGTAAAAAATTCAGATAATCATCTAGATTGATCACAGTATACCAAGTTTTTTTTCTTCCTCTTCTTTTTTTTCTTTATTATTATTTTTTGTTGTTGTTGTTGTTATATGGGATGGATTTCTGAGACGAGGAAAGGAAGATGTGTGGAAAGAATTTAAACAACATAAAAATATCAATAACATTTATTTTAAAGAAACCAAAATAAAGGAAAATTTAAAACTAGTACATCAACAATGTGTCTTAACTCTCCCCCTCCCACCATTTAATTAACCAAATTGAACAAATGCTTTTGTCTTAGTCATATATACTAAAGACCTGGGAAGAACAATGAAATGACTATTTTCAAAAGCCCAAATATGGTGGAATTAACATATCTGAACTAATCAGTTTATGACTGTTACTGTGAATGAGAAAAGGAGCCTGTATTTCACTACCATGAGAATACACCAATTAATATCACTGTTTATCTGTGACTAGTAGATAAATTCTACTGAGTTGCCACATAGAGGTTAAGGGACTTGGCCATGTCATAAAGTCGGTATTGGTGGTAGGATATGAACCCTAGGCCTCCTGGTGCCAAGTCTAGTCTTCTATCCATTGCACCTCACTCTCTCTGCACTTTGGTTATATTTGCATGAATCTTTTTAGTCTCAAAATAACTTTTCTTGAGGGAGCCAGGTGGCACAGTGGATAGAGCACCAGTGTTGGAGAAGGACCTGAGTTCAAATCTGGCATCAGACATATAACACTCACCAGCTATATGACTCTGGGCAAGTCTCTTAACCCCAATTGCCTCACCAAAAAAGAACAACAAAAAAAGCTTTTCTCAACATAGTCACATTTCCCAGTTAGGAACTCTCATTAGGTTGTTTCAAGTCAACCAGAATTTATAAATAATGACTCCTTGCCTCTAGGGCCTGACAATCTAGTTTGGAAAGATGAGTAATAAATATACAAAAAGTTGAATGGAACAGGTCAACAACAGTTCATGGTAATGGAAGAGATGACACAATAGTAATAATAATAACAACCGCTTTTATATAGTTCTTTGAAAGACATAAAGGCAATGTATATACATTATATTACCTACATTGTCTCACTTAGCATTATCTCATTATCTCATGATAATTCATGAACCAAAGACAAGGGATAAATAAGTTTTAAGGAGTGATTGAAGAATGAGGTAGAGGTTGCTTTAAGCTGGAGTAGTCAGGGAAAGTTTCACAAAGGAAATAGGATTTGAGATGTGTCTGTGGGGGTATTGTTTTATTTTATTTTGTTTTTAATTCATAGAATAAAACAAGTTTTTCCATAAAATAGTATAATAAAAAGATAATTACACATGAAACTACAAATACATTATGTACAACTTGCTATTCCTTTTAAATATATAATAAAGTTATCATGTAAATTTGTTTTTTCTTCTTCCCTCCTCAACCCCCAGAGATGGCTACTGCTAGGCACAAATACTTGTGTGTGTATACATATATGTATGTATGTGTGTATGTAAAATTATTCTATACATACTTCTATTTACCAGTTCTTTCTCCAGATGCAGATAGAGTCTTCTTTCATAGGTCCTTTGTAGTTAACTGGAGTATTTATAATAGTCAAATGGGTATATTGTTAAACTGGAAAGTATACAAAAGAGTACATCCATCCAGGATGGTGAAGGGCCTTGAGTCTGTAGGGGATGGTTGAAGGAACCCTATGTACATATTTCACTTAGAGAAGAGAAGACCAGAGTTGGGAGAGTAGAGTGGGGAGAAGTAGAAAGGATGATATGATAGTCATCTTCAAGTAGTTAATGGTCTGTCACATGGAGGAGGGAATAGGATTGCTCTATTTGGTCCCAGAGAACAGAATCAGGAGCCCTGAGTAGCAGATGAAAAGACTTTATCACTGATTTCAGGAAAAGGCTTCCTAACCATTAGACCTATTTAAAATTTGAAAACCACATGAAGGAAGATGCTATCTGCATCCAGAGAAAGAACTGATACATAGAAGTATATATAGAATGATTTTACATATATATATATATATATATATATATATATATATATATATATATATATATATATATATATATATATATATATATATAAATAAATAAATTTGTGTCTAATGGTAGCTCTTTCTAGGGTGGGGGGAGGGAAGAAAAAAGGGAAAAATTTACATATTTTATTATATATTTAAAAGAAATAGCAAGTATTACATAATAGATTTTCAGTTTCATGTGCAACCATCTTTTTTTGTTTACTATACTATGTTATGGGAATGCTTATTTCATTCCATAAGCTAAAAATAAAATAAACTTTAAAAATTTTTTTAAAAGCATATAATAAAATTTAAAAAATTGAATGGACTACCTCAGAAGGTGGTCTTTCAAGGTCTTTAAGCAAAGGGTGGACAATCACTTCTCAAGCATGTTATAGTAAGAACTCCTTTTATGTATGAGTTGAACTAGATCACCACAGAAGTCTCTTCCAACTCTCAAAGTCTGTGATAATATTTAGCCAGACAAAGTGTTAATATTTTGCTTGGACTTTCTGTGATTGGCTCCCTGTGATTTAATTTATCTGTCTCTGGAACTGATCTGGTCAACTCCATAGTATCTAATGTAGTTTCACAGGCACATAAATTAACAGTCAGGAAGAATAAGTGCCCAGAGAAGATCAGGAGAGCTGCCTCATTACTCTGGGGAACTATGTTGTATGCTGACCTTCTGCATCTGTTTTATATCCCCAAATATTACTCAATTCTACTCTTAAGGCAAAGCCACCCAACTTTGAACTCAAATCTTTCAGAGTAATTCCTTTTATCTTCAAGAAAAGTTAATTTTGTACTTATTGCCTTCAATTTGACTCTAGGTATATATCTCATAACTTACTGAGTATAAATTACCTGGAAAGTAGTAAAATCCCTAAACCCCCTCTTCTCCCTCGCCCCTTCCCTCCTATTCTCCTCTTTCCCTCCCTCCCTTCTTCCCTCCTTCCTTCCTTCTGTCCCAACTTTTCTCTCCAACTCTCTTTCTGTCTCTCTCTCTCTCTCTCTCTCTCTCTCTCTCTCTCTCTCTCTCTCTCTCTCTCTCTCTCTCTCTCTCTCTCTCTCTCTCTCTCTCTCTCTCTCTCTCTCTCTCACTGTCTCTCTCTCTGTCCCTGTCTCTCTGTCTCTCTCCATCCTCACCGAAGGAGCTAAAATTAATTGTAACTCTTCTAATTGTCATCAAGCTCATATGACTAGGCTTAAACATTTCAAATATGAGTGTATTTTCAGTATTTAACAATGTGGTGGCATGACCTTAATCATGAATTAGAGTAAGAAGAACTCTGGTCAAATCCCACCTTCAACACTTACTACCTATGTGAACTTGGGCAAATCAAAATAAAAAACATGGACTTCTATTTTCTCTTAACTCTTTTGATCTTTTTTCCCTCCCTTCTTCCTTCCTTCCTTCCTTCCTTCCTTCCTTCCTTCCTTCCTTCCTTCCTTCCTTCCTTCCTTCCTTCCCTACCGCCCTTTCTTTCTCCCTTTATTTTTCCCTTCCTTTTTTCTTTCCTTCCCTCCTTCCTTCCCTCTCTCCCTCCAAAAAAAAAAAAACCCTTTCTTATAAGGGATAGCTCTGAAAGAGTATAGAGTAAGGAAGATGAGGAAATCTAGGTGATATTTTTTTAAAAAGACAATAAAAATGTATTAACTTTTTTGAAATGCCTAAGCCTGGATTTCCTCAAATATAAAAAGAGGCACTTAGACGAGATATCTTCTGATGTCCTAGTTCCATATTATGATCCTGTGGTCTCCAGAATATTCAATTAAAGCATCTAAAGAAAGACTGCAAGATACAGTAACAAAGACATTGTATTTGGAGTTAGAGAACCTGGGTTTGAATACCAATTCTATCACCTATTTGGGTCATCTTGGGAAAAATCACTCAACCACTCTCATCTGTAAAATGAGCAAGCTGGTCTAGATCAGGGGCTCTTCACTTTTTTTCCCTTCACTTTTTATATATCATGAGCCCCTTTGGCAGTCTGGTGAAGCCTATATACATCTTTTCAGATTATGAATTTTAAATGCATAAAATACATAGAATTATAAAGGAAAACAATTAAATATAGAAATCAAAAAATTTTTTAAGTTCATGGACTCTTTGTTAAAAACCTCTCAGAGTAGAATCTTTAAAGTTTTTTCCAGTTCTAAATGCTTTCCTCCTATCAAATACATAACTCAGACAGAGGGTTGATTCTATCACAAGCTTCTAACATGACATTTATGGACAGAAACCATTATGAGCATAGACCTCCACTAAAGTCCTTTAATGTCTCATCACAAAATAAAGCTGACCCTGTGTTCTCAGGGGGTATAACAGAAGAGTTAAGTCTCACTCTTGTGACAAATTCCAAACTCCATCTGACTAGGAGGTGACTCTCTAATTTTGCTTCATGCCTATAACTG